GGTTGGGCAATGCACAGGTGACAGCTGAGCCTGGAACTTTTGGATACTGCTGCAGTTTTGTTCAGGCTCAATCTATATAAGTGCAGAGAGAAAGGAGAGACTGGTTTGCTTCTTGGCTGCTGAAAAGGGGAAAAGGGGACCTGATTTACGTTAGCTCTCTTGCGCAAACAGCACTCCCAAAGGAGTGATGCAACATCTCCGTAAAGATCAGAGCATCCGGACTCAGCTATCATACTATTACCATCTCGGTAGATGGTAATAGTATGATAGCTGAGTCCGGATGCTCAGATCTTTATGGAGATGTCGCATCGCTCCTTTGGGAGCGCTGTTTGCTCAAGAGAGCTAATGTAAACCAGGCCAGAGACAGATAGTATAAAGGGAATGTAAGAAAACCTAACCCTAACCCTGAACCGTACTGTAAGCCTAAGCCCTTACCCTAACTCAAACCCTAAACCTTACCCTAGCCCTTACGCTAACCCAAACCCTAAACCTTCCCTTACCCTAACCCCAGGCCTGAAAGGGGGGGGGGGGGGTTAGGGGTTCAACCCCCCCCTGAAATTTTTCAGGTTAAAAAAAATAAACCTGGTTTACTCATGAATTTTAACTGGTTAACCAAATCCCCATGCTAAGTCTATGAGACGCAAAAAATTAAAAGTCCCTCCAGAACTGCAAGCACTATCTCAAGCAAATATTGACAATTTATTCACACTGTCATTACTTGCAGCAATAGCCGATGTAGCGAAGCAACCAAGTTGGGGGGGGGGGGGGGTGTTGTTGAATGCTCTCATTAAGGAGGCCAGACTTGGTGGAGGTGGTTGACAGGGGCGGAGCTGCAGGCTATTGAAGGCTGCTCTGCCCCCCTGCTGTGCTCTTTGCTTCAGCGTGAGCTAGGAGGCAGGTTTCAACTCCCCCCCCCCAAAATTTTCAACCCTCCCCGAAATTGCCCCCCCCCCCCCGAAATTTTCAACCCTCCCCGAATTTTTTTTCTGGCTACGGCCCTGTCTAACCCTTACCCTATTTGTAACCCAAACCCTAAATCTTGCCCTAACCCATACCCTAAGCATCCCTTCTTTTCTATCCTTCCTTCGCTCTCCCGCTCTCACTCCGCCCCCTTTTATTCACAGCCGCCTTTGTGGCATCTCCGTAATGCTCGGAGCTTTCGAACCCAGCTATCATACTATTACCAAGATCTCTCATATGGACAAAGAAATACTATTTTAAATGGGTTGTTGTAGGGTTTTTCGGGCTATATGGCCATGTTCTAGAGGCATTCTCTCCTGATGTTTCGCCTGCATCTATGGCAAGCATCCTCAGAGGTCTATTTTAAATATTTGAAAGGACTTTTTGTGAGTGAATGCAACTGATCATATTGGACATGTTGTTCTGAATTAGGAAGAATAAATTACTTGTTTTTTACTGTTCACCTACATGGCATATTTTCTTTACCTGGCAAGGCAGTGTGTTGGCTGATCCAATGTGAACTACACATTCTGCCACAAACAGATCCAGAGACAAAGGGCATGTCTGGAAGGTCCCCAAGTTCACTAGCACCCACGGAGATGGGTAAAGGCCATAAGCAAATTTTCTGCATGTGGTGCACTGTCTACTGTGGTACTATGTTCTCTGTCAAGGCACTGATTTTTTTTTTCTCGTGTTGGGAGCGATTTAAGAAACTGCAAGTCATTTCTGGTGTAACAGAATTGGTTGTCTGCAAGGACATTTCCCTGGGGACACCTGGATGTTTTAACATCCTGTGTGAGGCTTCTCTCATGTCCTCGTATGAGAAGCTACAGTTGACAGATGTGAGCTCAATCTGTTCTCCCCGGATTTGAACCGACCTGTCAGTAGTCCTGCTGGCACAAGAGTTTAACCCATTGCACCACCAAGGGCTCCAAGGCATTGAATAAATGACTTCTAAAATATCTGTAATCTTGTCCCTACAATAACATGAAAGCACTTCTACCACACCATGGTACCATTTGCAATTTTAATGACCACTGCCATCTATTTAGGGTCAAAGCTACAATGTCCAATTTATTCAGGCAGATAATATTCATGGGCAGAAGTAAACAAAAGGCAATCTCTTGAGAGGTCCTGCCGCCCAGGAATCAATACAGGGAATTACTTCTCCAAGAGTTATTCAAGGTTTTGTAGTCTTTTTTTTTTACCCCCACATCTTCTTTCAGGCCCATTCTATGTACCAGCTAGCTTCTTAAGCAGCGATATAACCTTTCATTTTATATGACATTTTTCAGTAATGGCAGGAAGAAGCAAATTCCCCAATGTACAGGCCAATAACCATAATGAATCTTAGCAAATGCTGTCCAAATAGCATCACTATGACTTTATTTCCAAAATATTGCCCAAAAGGACAATATTGTTTCAGATGCTTATCTGTGCGTTGAGATGTTAATAAAAACTCCTTTTCTCTCAAGGGGTTGCTGTGAGTTTTCTGGGCTGTATAGCCATGTTCCAGAAGCGTTCTCTCCTGATGTTTTGCCCACATCTATGGCATGCCTCCTCAGAGGTTGGGAAGTCTGTTGGAAACTAGGCAAGTGATGTTTATGTATTGGTGGAATGTCCAGGGTGGGAGAAAGAACTCTTGTCTGTTAGAGGTGTGAATGTTGCCACTGGACACGTTGATTAGCACTGAATAGCCTTGCAGCTTCAAAGCCTGGCTGCTTCCTGACTGGGAGAATCCTTCGTTGGGAGGTGTTTGCTGGCCCTTTTCTCTCATTCACACAATTGGAGTTTTAATTTTGTGAAAAGAAGCTTCCAGGTACCTTTTCTTAACCCATAAAATTCTCCTTGTCCTTTTCTAGACAAAAACATTTCTTTGAAACTGTCAGACATCTAGCAATTATGCTGGGTTGCCCTTATTATGTGCTGATTTTCAAAATGTAATTTCTTGTGATTTAATTCGCCTGTTGTAGTTATTATTGTTAGCGATCCTGAGGCTCATGTTTGGGAGAAAGAGAGACATAAACACACTGAATATTCAGGTAGGACAGATTTTTGAAAGTAACCTGTAATTTTTATTCCTTTGTGATTCCCAAGCGTTGGTTCTCCACATGTTTTGGACTTCAGCTCCCACAATTTCTAAAAGCTGGTAAACGTTCTGGGAGTTGGAAGTTCAAAAGCCCTGGAGGACCAGGGTTGGAAACCATTTGTGATGCATGTCATGCTTAAGATATGCCCGACAGCATATTTCAAGAAAATACGGAATTTTAAGGGAAGCACTATAAAAGCAGTTAGTATTTTTGCAAAAATGTTTCTTTTTAATCTGGCTATTAAATAAAATGAAAACCTTGCCTAGCTCCAGAAAATGATTACACCTCCTTTTGGTTTAACTCTTACCATAAAAATGCATGGTTTCAGAATTCTGCAAAATTCAGATTTGAATCCCACGAAAAACCGCATACCATTTATTCTTGAACTTTCCCGAGACTTTCCCTTCCAAAGCTAAATAGTGTTCTGAAGAACAGATCCTAGTTTACGCCTTGTCAGAATTTTTGAATAATGCAGGTTGCAATGAAATTTTTTTTTACTGTACCATTGCCGTTTTTAATGAATTTGGGCTGCTGTATTAAAAAAAACAAAAAGCACCACAGGCAGTTCTTTCACAAATTTCATTACTAATTTCATTTAGTCACACATTACAACAGTAAAACATCAATGTGAATTGTGAAAAAACTGTATGTGATAGAGCAAATCCAACCTTATTTTTGGATTTAAAGCCAAATTCTAAACCAGCACACATTTTGAAAGAGGTTTTATGACCCCTGTTTGAGCTGGCCTGTGTAATTAAAGAGCTCCACCACCATTTATACTTTTGCTATCCTTAGATGCTAAAGTGGAGCCCGAAGAGTACATAATGAAAATTTCTTTTTTAACATATAGTGTCACTTGTGAAGTCGTAGAATCAGTATTAATGAGTACCCACTGGCCAAAAATCTAGGACAGTGTATTGACACATAAACCAGGCAGTTATATCTAGGCTACAGGCATGCACCAATGCAGAAAAGCACATGTCTCAATCTCCCTCTAAGTCAGGGGTTCCCAAAATAAGGCTCATGGGATGGATGTGGCTCTCCAAGGTCATTTTCCATTCTCCACCCTAGATTTAGACTTAGTTTGAATTGACTTGAAGGCATACAAAAACAGTCAAAATTAACTCGACTTTCTCATCAGCCAAAAGCAGGTTCACACTTCCCATTGAAATATTGCTAAGTTTATGTTGGTTAACATTGTTCTTAATTTTAAATATATTGTTCTTTCATGGGTTTTTTTTTTTGTTGCCCTACAAATCAAGATATGAGCAGCGTGCAAAGGATTTTTTTTTTCAAACTGTAGTCCAGGCCAACTGTCTGAAGGACCATGAACCGGCCCTTGGTTTAAAACTGGTTCCCAACCAGCGGTCCCCAAAAACTAAAACATGGTCCACGGCCTCACCGTTGCAACAAGTGCAACTGATCTCGCGAAACTCTTATAGTGCCGAGGCAATGGGGATGTCGGGAGGGGAGAGGCTGGCTACCCACATAAGACTACTACTACCACATCAGCACTAGATTATTAAATATGGTTTTCTGTAAGTGAGCTGGGCAGCTACTGGGTGGCATATCTTCTGTATCAGATACTAAAGGTGATGTGGTCTATCCAATGCAATTTTCTGAATCAGTACCCCAAATAACCAAACCGAAAACTGATTCATAACCCTTTTGATACTAACGCTGGAGAGTGGTCCCTGGTCAAAAAAAGCTTGGGAACAACTGGTTTAAAAAAATTGAGGACCCCTACTGTAAGCCTTAGAGGAGAGCTTTAACAAGGGCTGTTCTGTGTTGGTCTACAGGCAGACAGGGACAAGTGAAAAAGGCTGGAGAGTAATCATTTCTCTCTCCTTAGCAACAGCCAAAGACCTTTCTACTTTTGCCAAGGTCTCAGGTTGTGGACACAGCACTCCACCCTCCCCTTGTCCCTTGGTGGATATAACAAAGGACCACTGCCTTTTGCAAACGTTTATTGACTCAATTACTTCTGTTATCAGTTCTGACCTACGGTCTCCGCCCATTCACATCTCCCCCCCACCCCCACAAGCCAACCAGGGCAAGGCCTCCTGGTGCTTAGAAGACCACGTGGGAGCATTTCTTGTTATGAGCCCTCTCCTCAAATAGGATGAGAACGGGTGCAGCCTCCTCCCCACACCAGTGAGTGACGGAGGGAGAGGGAGAGGTGGTGGTGCAGGAGGCAAAACACAACACAACTAACATTAACTGGAAAAGGACAGGATGGGAGGTGGGGGTTAAGGCGCCTCAAGAACATGACATAACCGCGAGGTCTAAAGGGACATAGGGAAGGGCCCACACAGAAGCGAAGGATTTCCCACGCTCTGATGAACACAAAAAAGGGGTGGGGAGGCGGAGCATCCTAAAGGGGTACAAAACGTTATTCATGTTTTGAGTCACTTTAACCGTGACAGGAGGGGGAAGGAGGCGGGCCCTCCCCCCGCACTAACAGTCCGTGGCAGGCAGGTGAGTGGTGCTGGCAAAGAGACAGCTAGCGGATGGTGTAGCGCACATAGGGCACCTCTGTGTCGTCCCCACTGTCGTCGTTGCAGCACAACTCAAAGACCAGGGCTTTCACGTGGCGGCCAATCTTCTTCTTTGAAACTCTGGTAACTATCTCGGTCATCCTGCAGCAAAAGAGGATGGAAAAGAGCAGTGGTCAGGGAAAGGTGGGATATGTGGAGTCTCTCCTACACTCTGAGCCCTCCCCCACAAAACCCCAGAAACCTACGGTTGGTCGTGGCGCTCCTTCAGCTTGGCGGGCTGCATAAAGAATGAATAAAGCATGGAGACACCCTGGGACAGCATTGTTATCTCCAGCTTGTGCTCCTTCTATGAAAGAAAAACAAAGATTAGGAGAACTTCTGCATCTTTTAAATAACCTGTGCCTATTTCTCCACTCCTAAAACTTGCAGCAGATGGTGGCTCTTGGCCTGCTGAGGTATGCTTTACCTTGAAATATGCCAGGAACTCACGTAGCGTCATCTCCTGTCCATCAGCTTGGATGCCCTGAACCTCAAAACGGTCCCACAAAGTCCATTCAGTGTTATAATACTGAGGAAGAGAAAATGAGGAATACAGGCATCAACTACAGAGGTATTTCTCAGGTTCCCTGGGAGGTGTCAAACCCATTTTCAAATCAGCCTTATGCACAGAGAATCTGTGGGTACAGGTGGCCAATTCTATATTTCTTAACTTAGTGGTGGGTCCTTTTTAGTTTTTACCTAATTTGGGTCCTCTGATGTTATTGAAGAACAACTCCCACCACTTTTGGTTATATCTGCCATGTAAACGGGAGAATGGGAATTGCCGTCCTACAGCATTTGTGGCTCTCAGGTTGGGGAAAGGTTATGGGACATTTTAACATCAGACATTATAACCTTGTATCTAAATCCAAGACCCACTATCCTGAGTAAGCAGAACTGCAGCTTGCCACATGACTGCATCCCAGCTCCCATCCGAAATATTCATGATGTCAAAGAATGAGGAATATAGGAATTGAAATCCAGAATCTGGAGAGCCACACAAAATTACATGGCAAACTGGATTTGGCCCACAGGCTTTGAGCTTGACACATGTGCTGTATGTCCAAGTTAAATCCAAAGATATAGCACCTAAGTTGACACAGTGTGGAAGATCCTTTTCGTGTATGGTTTCCCCACCCCCATAGCAGAAAATACTTCAACAGTGACCTCAGTTGCACAATGGAATCCTATTGGGCTGTTACAAATGTGTAAACATCATGGTGACTATGCAGTGACTACTGTCCTGACCCTCCGACCTCTGCAATCACTCTCCACTCCCTGGGCAACAGCTTCTGCCCTCAACAGTGGTCTGCTCCCGTCAAACAGGAAGTAGCTGCCAGTCCCACCTTCTCCCATCGGTGATTTTTCTTGGACCACGCAGAAGCAGAGTCTCTCTTGCATTCTGGTTCACAGAGCATGAGAGTGGGAATGTCAGGCAGCTGCTTCCCATTCGGGACAGACCCCTAATGAGTGCAGTGGCTGTTGCTCGAGAAAGTGAGGACTGAGAGAACCACAGAGTTGGGAGAGACTACAAGCACTATCCAGTTCAATTCCTGGCCATGATGGAACACCCAATCAAGGCATTCCTGATAAATGGCTGTCTGGCCTCTGCTTAAAAACCTCCAAAGGAGGAGACTCCATCACATTCCAAGACAGCATATTCCACTCCAGAACAGCTCTTACTTCCAGGAGGTTCCTATGTATCTGCTAAACTAAGTGCTATGTAGGGTTTACAAATACAAGACATTCCAAATACTTAACTGTAAGTATAAGTATTTGGAGTTATAGTTAAGTATTTCAAAGTATTTCAAATACTTAACTATAGCTCACACATTTCTTTTTAATATAATTTTTTATTTACAGTCTAAACAGAACACAAAACAATGAACTTTTTACAAACACATAACCTCACCATCAAGGCCTGAACAAGTATAATTTCTTTTGCCACAAACAGTAAACAACCAGTAAACAAATACCATATCCAAAAGATTGTATTGTTTTTCCTTATCACACTCTAAAATATATTTAATGAAAACCGACCAGTATGAATCAAATTCTGATCTTTTAATCCCTCCCCCCAGAACACCCTAATTTCCATTGATAGTTTGTCATTGAAGGCTACGTTCCATACCTCCCCGTAGAGTAAGATTGATTACTATTTTCTAATTCCTTGCAATTATAAGTCTTGCCACCAGTTTTTTTTTTTTACCTTTCTAAGTTCAACTTTGTGGCACCCATTAGTAATGCTAACATAGCATCCAGGATGAGGGTTAGTTCTATAGTGTTCCCTGTTTCCTTAAATTGCATGAATAATAGATTTCTGGCTGTGACTTCTAAAATGTATATTCATGAACAAATATTTCTAATTTCCTGACTTTTCTGCAAAATGGGATTGAAGCAACTTTCAATAAATTTAAAAATCTGCCCTTCCATACTTAATTTCTAAGATACCACCACGATTCCAGACGAAACTTGCATGGAAAAAAAAGAATGCCTTCCTCAAATGAGCAGAACTAGTAAAGACAAAAAAAGTAAGAACCAAAAAGGATGACATGCCAGAGCATCTAAGCGTGTTGCTGCACTGAGCTCACAACCAGGCATGGGATACTGGAAAGTAATCTACATCAGAGAACTTTAGAGTCCTAATTGCCATTTGTCTTTCTAGCCATTTCCCTTTTCCAAACTAATAGGAAAAAAGATGAGAGGAAAAGGAAAATATTTTATCACACTTACCTTGTTTTTGGGGCAAGAAATAGGCTCAGAGAAACCAAAGAAAGGCAATGCCAGGTTGAGGAAGCCATTCTTAAAGGACTCCAGTCGTTTGTGACCCTGTATTATTTTATATAACTCCAGACACACCAAGCCGACTACAGCTGCCGTCGTTGTAGCGATAGCGGGGATGATTTTTCCTGCAATCAGCTTGCTCTAAACAAAAAAGGGGGCATGTGAGCCTCCTGGTTGGAAGCATTTCCACTCTCCCATTGAGCTCCCATCCTCCACAGCTAACAGGAGAAACCCTACCTTATGTCTGTCAGCAGGAGGAATATCGTAATTCTCCGCCCGCAAATTGGATGCAGCAACAATGAAATCCATGTGGAAATTTGTGTCATCATCCTAAAATTTTATCCAAGTAAAATAGATCTAATTAGATCAGTAGTATTCCCAACAGAATCAGACTCCTTCCAAAGACTTTGCATGTGAGCACCTTTGAACAGGTAAACATTCCCATACCACAAAAAAGAAGAGCAGCATAAAATATTTCAACGAATTTTATTATTGTTTCAAAACTAATAGTCTGAACATGTGAAATGAAATACCAGGTGAGGGAAGAATGGAATCTGAGCTCTGTTGTTGTTGTTATACAACATCATCAGTAAAATTTAGCAATAAATTAATAAATTAACGTGCCAGTAAAATCAAGCCAAGCCAGGAGAATCCATATCGCAAAATCCTAATTTCCTTTTCCTATTGATTGGCAAGAACCACATCTGGGCTCTGTTTTTGTTGTTGTTTATTGTTGTTGTTGTTGTTATTATTATTATTATTAAAATCCTGTATAATAAGGAACTTATTTATCAGAGGTTTTTATTAAGAAATGCCTATATTTTTTAGTCACTCTCACTCTGTCCAACTATAATGAAGGAAAAAAGATGTGTTTGTGCTCAATTTATAGTGGATTTCACCACTTAACTTATAGCCGATTTCCTAGAGTTTTCTTGAAGAAATGGGTTTGTCCTTTCCTTCCTCTGAAATATATCCTACAGTATTTGTTAACATTCCCCCACTCAAGCACTAACTGAAACTGGCCTGCTTAGCTTCCAAGATCAGGTGCCTTAGAGTATTCAGGCCTCTGCACTTATTCATTTATTTTTAAAACATTCTTACCTTTTCAAAATCAACAGGAAACATCCTGAACTCTTGCAGTTGTTGGGGCCCTGGGAGTGAGGATTTTAATTCCTCTAGTCGACTATCATCTGGAGAATAGAAGAGCTTAGTTTTTAAAATGGCAACTATAACCTCCAGCCACCGTCCCCTTGACATCCTGTGGTGCCCAACTCACTGGAAATCCACTGGATTGGTTTGAGGCTCTAAAACTCAAACTATATTTCACCACCAATCTTTGGAAAGCTTGGAAAGAAAGCTTGGAAAGAAGCCTACTTGCTCGTAATATTCCACCAAGATAGGTAGACATTCCCCCCAATTTGAGGAAAGCATTGAATTCAAAACTAGACTGGATGATAGTGAAAGAAATTCTAAGAATCATTCACTTCTATGGATTAGGAATTACACAAGGTCCTCTAATCAGGTGGCCTTAATTTCCTTTTTCCCAACAAGATCTTCCAAGGAAGCTCATAGGATCTGGGGCAGATGTAACATCAGAGGCTTTGTTAGGACCTATGTATGAGTGTGCTGGAGGTCAAATGACAGCTGGAGCTGGGGTATGCAGAGCTACATAACGGTTTGCAATGGAACCTAGGCAAAAGTTTGTTACTTGCCACCCCTATTCTTTAGCAGCCCGAAATAGCCCCTTCAGTTAAGAATAGAAAGACCTTCCCTTCTGCAACCCTGTTTTTCACCCAGCTCCAGCAGGCCTTACCAACTGAGGCGTTGGCATTCTGCAGCTCCTGGTCGGAGATGTGGATACGAACACCAGACTTGGGAGTGAACTCTGGGATTTGTACTTGGCGCAGGAGCTCTGCTACAGCTGTTCTGTCCCTGGTGCCTGTGATCCCATACGTCTGTGCAAACAAGTTTGCAGCTGCCATCACATAATCCATGTGCAAGGACTGGGGAGGTAAACAGAAAATTAAGTGAGGCAGGCATATTTGGGTAAAACAGTATACGAACCGGTTACTGACCAATTATGATTGTCAAGTCTCAAGTTATAGGACCAAGGAGACCAGAACCAAGATTTGGGAATGTTTCTGCTTTGTGTTCAAATTCAGGTAGTCATCTTCCTATATCAGAGGGGGGCATTCTTCCAGGTGCAGCTTTTTGGGCAAGTGAGCCCTCTTCATAAATGTACAACAGAGCAAATTATTAGCAACAGTATGACCCAGCACCAGTAGCCAACAGTAATAAAAAGAACAAAAACACATAGACCAATGTTATCTTTTCCATATGAGGCTTTTCTTTGTAGTAAAACAATATGGTTGCACTATTTACAAGAATAAGATTTCCATAACACAAATAAAGTTCTTTACACTTCTTTCTTTGCTTCCATGCTGGCCTTCTTTCTCATGCAGTTAAACAGCTTTGCTCTCAGAGCTTCTTCTCACACAAAAGTTGCACAGGAGCTTCACACAGTAGCTTTTTACACACAGCAGCCTTCACACTGGAGTTTCATCACTGAAGGCCTTCAATCTAGGGTTCCTTTTACAGAAGCTTCTCACACCAGGCCTTATACTGAGGCCTACCTCATACTGAGGGCTCTCTCAGACTGACGCCTCTCCCACACTGAGGCCTTTTCATACTGAGGGCTCTCTCAAACTGAGACAAACTAACACTGAGTTCTTCTCGGTACTGAGGCCTACTAGTACCCTAAGGCCCTTCTCCTACAGATATCTTTCACAGACTGAGGGCTACTAAGCTACAGGCAAACCTGCTTACATTGAATTATGGCTTTTGCTGAGTCATTGCATCCCATTTAACCTTTTCGGTGCTTGACTTCCATTTTTGTAATTAAAAATACCTAGTTAATTTTTAATATTTCTGACACAGCTCACTAGACAAATTGCTAGGAGAAAGATCCACTAATGCTTGAAACTTGTTTAGGGGGTGTGGGTTTAAATTTAGAAATCCAAGCTAAATGTTAGTGAGTCTTTCCCATAGCAGTATCTCTAGCCAACTTCACCTGGAGGAATGCCTCCCTCTGACTAGGATGACAGCTATCAGACCTCAAACATAAAGCAGAAACATTTCCAAATATTTATCCAAGGTCTCCTTGGCTCTATCACTTCAGCCCTGAAAAACCGCAATTTGTAAGTAAGTAGTTAAGATCTGCAATTAATACGCTAAACATTTTTTAAAAGTTTCTCATGAAGGTTTGCCCAGCTAATGGATTTCTATATCTCCCCAAGGTCCTTAAAGCCCTGTTCTTTTCCTTCAGAGCCTCCAGTTAATAGAACCGGATGTAGCCAACACCCTTTCAACAACAGACAGAGATAGAAACTAGTTCTTCTCCCTACTACCTGCTATCCAAATAGCAGTGCCAGCACTGTAATCTCTTTTTCATTGACACCATCCCAGTGCTTACATTGTTGCTATCAAAGGTGAGTGGGTGAGGGCATCGCTTTGGACCCGACCAGAAGAGGGTCCCTGAATTCGTTTTCTGAAAGAAAAAGGGAGGAGGTTACAACAAGGATAGCAGCACATTTTCCACTTTATCATCACAAGAAAGGGCCTTAGCCATCATATACTGATCTTTGCTGGGTCACCTGGTTGGGGGGAAAGTTATGCAGCAGCTGACGGATATTGTTACTGTATTGGGTGTGCCAGTGATTACAGGCCCAGGTTACGCAGTCAGCCCAGGACTTAGGTCGATCCGTCACCAAACTCTTGAAGACAGCTTCCAATACTTCCAAAGGCTGAGTGCCAGGCAGCTTCTGGGTCCGCTCCATGAACTTGGGGTCTCTAGAAAACAATGAGAACTGATTCAGTCCATTTCCTCTGCATTAAAACATTCCAAATTATTCCAGAATCAGCACAAATCAAAAACCCATGCCCCAAGCTACCTCTTTACCTCTGTGGACCTGGGTGTATGGTATCACAGTCAATTCCACCAAAAGTAGCAATTATCAGCAAGTGTCAACCACAATATTCTATTGATGGACACAGCTAGACCCTGGTGAACTCTCAATGCAGGTGTTTACTTACGTGATGTACTGGTTGACATTCTCTGCGGGTTGTTTGAAAAGGCCTTCAAATTCATCACGGGCCCACTGACCACAAAAAGAAAATAGAAAGGATTTCAGCCACAAGACAGGACAGCAGATTGTAGGTTTTGCAACAAATAGCTACAGCTGAATTGGTTGGTACCAAACAACAGAAAAGAAAAAGGGAACTGACAGCAGAACTGATACATAGACACAGCATCATAATCTGCAAAGATGAAAAAGAGTATCTAGTTTGTTCCTTAGTAAAAGAGGAGGGAGGGATGGGTAACAGGTTCGCAGCTTGGGTGTGATCCTGGATTCATCGTTGAGCCTGGATCCCCAGGTTTCAGCGGTGACCAGGGGAGCATTTGCACAGCTTCGGCTCGTGCGCCAGCTGCGCCCGTACCTCGGGAAGTCTGACTTGGCCACGGTGGTACACGCTCTGGTCACATCCCGCCTTGATACTGCAACGCTCTCTACGTGGGGCTGCCCTTGAAGATGGCCCGGAAGCTCCAGCTAGTCCAGCGCGCGGCAGCCATGTTACTAACAGGAGCGGGACGCAGGGAGCACACAACGCCCTTGTTGTCCCAGCTCCACTGGCTGCCGATCTGCTACCGGGCCCAATTCAAGGTGCTGGTGTTGGCCTACAAAGCCCTAAACGGTTCCGGCCCAAAATACCTCTGACCGCATCTCGGCCTATGAGCCCACGAGGGCCTTGAGATCATCTGGGGAGGCCCTTCTCTCGATCCCGCCTGCCTCACAGGCACGTTTGGCGGGGACGAGAGATAGGGCCTTCTCGGTGGTGGCGCCCCGGCTATGGAGCACCCTCCCTGTGGACATCAGACAGGCGCCCTCCCTTATGTCATTCCGCAAGAGCTTAAAGACATGGCTATTCGAGCAGGCGTTTAACTAAGTGCTACAATTGGCAATGACGACTGGAACGGTATATGGAATACGAGATTGGCTTATGATTCTACGATGAGACGACACGGATGATTTAGAGTAATTATTGTTGTATTATCGATGTTATGTGTATACTGTTGTATGAGGGTTGTATTGTGAACTGTTCTTTTTATATGTTGTACACCGCCGTGAGTCGCCCGAAAGGGCTGAGAACGGCGGTCAACAAATGCAATAAATAAATAAATAAATAACAGAGGAAAACAAAACCTGATCATGTCAAGACTGCTCAGGCAAGAACCCACAAAGTGTCCTGATTTCTAGGTGTTACCACACCACCCCAAATTAATAAGGCAACCCAATCCTACACTGACCTGCAAGGTGTGCTCAATGGCATTGGGGAAGTTCTTAAGGGTGCAGATGGGGATGGATTTTTCTGGTGGGTCTTGGCTGGAGCTGTAGGACTCTGTAAGGAAGGGGATCACCACCTGGATGTTCCCTTTGGTCCCCAATGTCCCTGATTCCAGCAGGGGCTTACGGTAATAGACACAGCGGCGGTCCATGTACATCCCTAGCATACAAGAAAACAAAAGAGAGGATTAGGCAAGAGAACTGGAAAAGGTCATCAGGTATAAGAGAGAACCAGAAGCCAAGAGCAGCCAGGCAGGAAACTGAATGCCTGACTATCTAGGTATATGAAGCAATGCCACTCTCAACAGAGAGAAGTTGACTAAAGGAATATCTCTGATCCAAAACTACAGAAAGCTATTCACAAACTATTTATAACAATATTTTCATGTGTATCTTTGAGGAAAGAAGTCTATTTTAATCTTTTATTATTCTGTTTATCAAAATTTGAAAAACATTTGCTCTTGGTTTGAAAGTGTTATTTTCTGTTTAACTGTGTTATACTCCAGAAACTTTGTTTTTGTAGCTGCCAGAAACTATATTGGCAGATACTCACTAGCATCCACATTATCTAGTGCATTTGCCACTCCATCAAGGCTTTCAAAGAAGTCATCATCATAAACACGCTCGGTGTCTGGGCCAACACGGTCTTGGTGGCTTGTGATGTGGATGTTTGGGTTCATTTCCTTCACTGCTGCTGCTGCTGTGTCCGATTTCATTTTCTGGAGAGATAGAGGAGGGACATCACTCTCATGGGGAGAGAACTACAACATTGCAGCTACAAGCCTCGGTCCCATTACTGTTTTGTACTAAAGTTCACTTATAATGGTTGAAGAATCTCGCCAAACCCAAAACTATTTTTGCAGGACTTACAGTAGGTTGATTAACTAGGAACCAGGAAGAGGCCAACATGTAAGGGCAGACAACTTCATGCCATTATGCAGTCATTCCCAGAAAAGGCAAGTGTAGTTAATAGAACTGACCGTAACATCCCAAGGCCGGAAAAGAAACTGCCGGTTGAGGTTGGATTTCTCAATCGTGTCCATGTCAGTCACAATCACCTCTCCGCCTGACCCACATCCAAGACCAATCATGGCAAAGTTCTTCAGCAGCTCACAGCCAATGGCACCAGCCCCAACCTGAGAGCAGGGAGGAGCAGGGATGTTAGCAGGATGCTGAGGTAGATATGCATGGAAAAAGATGAATGGTGCTAGAACTCACCAGAAAGTACTTCTGCTGTCCCAGCTTAGCCTGCAGGTCACTGCCAAAGACTGCAATCTGCCCATCATAGCGACAGTGTTTCTGTGCATCATGAGAGAACACAGACCACAAGCTTTAGGCACCTCTTCTTGTTAAAAGCACCCTGTTTGCCGTCCGCAAAGCAACTCCTACACAGTTTATATGGGTTCTTTATTCTTCCATATGATGGACAATACATTTTGTTTATCATGGACAATAACGCAATTTGAATTTTTAAGCAAGAAAGTTAACTTATGTGTAAAAAATAAAAATACTACTATCAGAAGCCCAACAGTGTAGTCAGTGGCTCAAATGCTACAATCTTGGTAAAGTGAAATTGAAATTGATCCTGAGCTGAAATCCTGTTTCAATTGCTTTACCAAGTTAAAGGTTAAGCTCTCCCTTGACATTAAGTCCAATCAAGTCCGACTCTGGGTGTGTGTGTGTGTGTGTGTGTGCTCATCTCCATTTCTAAGCCAAAGAGCTGGCGTTGTCCACAGATACCTCCAAGGTCATGTGGCTGCCATGGCTGCCATTACCTTCCTGCCAAAGCGGTACCTATTGATCTACTCACAGTTGCATGTTTTTGTACTGCTAGGTTGTCAGAAGCTGGCCTTAACAGCAGGAGCTCACCCTGCCGGATTCAAACCAACCTTCTGGTCAGCAGGTTAAGCAGCTCAGCAGTTTAACCCTCTGAGCCACCAGGGGTGCTTAGATAGCTAAATGTCTTTTCTCTGACTTAAATAGTAATATAGGGGAGAAATGGGGGAGGGCATGTGTAATGGATGATACACATCTAAGGAATATATAAAGTGTTATTTAAGGTAAAGTGGCTTTTGGAATAATGTATATCGAGTTAAAAATCTGTCAACCCCCCCTCCCCCCCATTCAATAAAGAGCATTTTATTGGGCACAGCAAAATGTAAAATATTAGAATTAAATGTAATTAAATGTATATATATAAACAATACAGCCCATGGCCACTCCAGCTTCTCCAATTCCATAGTGCTGTACTTCAATCACAGACAAACTACACTATAAACTCTTCATTCATCATTCCTGAACAGCATACTTTTCTGCTAGTTCTAGCATGCATCTCAAATTGCACAAAAACTACTCACAGGGCTACAATTCTCCTCAGTCAGGGCATCCTTGTTTTCCTCAGGCAGGCATTCCAGTGCATCGAAGTAGAGCCACTGAGTGATGGGCATGAATTTACCTGAACATGCCTGAAGGAGAAAATGTGGAAGGAAAATTTCATACATTGTATGTTTTCACTGTTCAGCGTTTCCTTTCATTTGAAAATTGGAAGGATCACATTGCAAGCTAATCCCATTAAGAGGCCCAACTCGTCTGTTACAGAGATAAGGACCTGTCTTGGATTTGAATGGCCAAATCCAAAACTTCTGGTTGAGAGGAGAAAATAGTAACTTTATAGAATAGTATAACTTTATTGTAATTGTGCATCGTACAACAAAATTAAAGGCCACCCCCAATCACATTACGTATTTATAAATTATGAAACAAAGCACCATCTTTCCACAGTGTAATCACTATTGCACAAGCCCTAATGCCACATTAGTGTGAAGCTAGAGTTCAATATTGTCACAGTTCAAGCATAAAAGCTCCGCCTATTTGTCCTTGTTTATACCAGCCTATACTGTCTGCCAGGTGATAATATTTCAAGAAAAGAATATCTGGGTGAGGTGGATCCTTAAGAATATTTTGAGCTTTCTCACAGCAGTGGGAATTATACAGTTCTTCCAAAGAGGGAAGAGGGCAATCAAAAATTCTCTGGGCAGCAGTGATATCCCTCTAAAACGCCTTCCTATCTACCACTGTGCAATTAGCAAACAATATCCATATGCAATAGATTAGAATACTCTCTATAGCACAGCGGAAGCTGACAGAGGAAAGAAAATCTGTTCCCAAATTACAAGAGGAGATAAGAGTAACAGTTGCCACTTCTAGCTCCCATTTAACCAGTTATTATTCCAAATATTCTGAAGAAACTCTGGGAATCTGGTCTCACTTTCATGACTTCTTGTGCAGCTAATCCTCCAATGAAGGCATTGACGGGTGCCAGGTCTCCAGTGGCTTGGAAGGCCAATTCTTTGATGACATCCTCACTCAACTGCTCTTGCTTGAGGGGGGGCTTTGCTTGCTCATTCAGCTCCTTGACCAAAGTTAATACTTCATTAGCATCTGCCTGAGGAGGAAAGGAGAACAGGTCAGAAAAAGGACAGCAAAGAGTCTCATCAGATACAATGCTGAGGGAAGGGGCATATAAATGTCCTCAAAGGCATCCACACAGTTGTGGACTGGCATCTAAGGTCAATGCATCAGTATCTACAGAAGACTCCAGCAACTGACAAAGAGAATTAACTCGTAAATTTCTGACAACGAGTACTGTATATACCGACCCGAATACAAGTCGAGGCACTTAATTTTACCACAAAAAACTGGGAAAACATATTAAATTAAGTATAAGCCGAGGGTGGAGATGCAGCAGCTACTGGTAAATTTCAAAATAAAAATAGATACCAATACAATTATATTAATTGAGGCATCAGTAGGTTAAATGTTTTTGAATATTAATATAAAACTGTAATTTAAGATAAGACTGTCCAACTCTATTTGAACCATTATTCTAACCTCCTTCAATGTAAATGTGCTTACGTATCCTTCCAATAATAATAAAGAGTAAAATACTAAATGTAATAATAATATTAATAATATAGTAAAATAATAAATGCAATAATAATCTATATAAAGAAAAATGTAATGTTTGTTTGTGGAATTGACATAACTCAAAACACTGAAAAACACAGCAGAAGAGACTTAAAAAGCCAAAAAAAACCCCCCAAAAATACATTACAATGCATGTGCAAAACCACATATATACACAAACACACATATACACATATACACACACACACACATATACACACAAAACACATACACAGACTGGGCCACAGCAACGCGTGGCAGGGAATGGCTAGTAATAAATAGAGTAAAATAATAAATGTAATAATAATAATAACCCCCCAGTGAAATAATAAATAACTTTGACTTTGGTATAAGTTGAGTGGACTTTTTCATCCTAAAAAAGTGCTGGAAAACTCAGCTTATACTCAAATATATACAGTATGTTTGAAAGAAAGATGGAGGGGAGGATTTCACATTTTTATGGCTATAAACATACACTTGATTTTGTGTGGGCAATTCTCTTTAAGTCTCTAAGAGTGAGCAGGAGGTTCAAGTTCATGGCATAGTACTACAGTGTTTCTTCAGAGGACTTAGTCACACCTCATGATAACAAAGCAGGGATTTTTAAATAATAATAATAATGATTATTATGTTCCTCATTCAGTGTGAAAAATTCTATTTTTCTAGATAAGGAAACTGAATTGACTGGACACATAGCACCAAATCATATTTTTTCCATCTAATATTGGTACCTTAGTTGTGCTGTTACCCAGTTATCTCTCTGCCCTTACACTATCTTACACTCTTACCCTTACACGAAAGTGTTACAGTCAAACCAGATATAACTATCAGCATACTCCATTTAAAGTAATTAACAGGTGCTATAGATGGGGGTGAAAATGATAGTGATTACAGCAGGAAGGGAATGTGGCTTCATTGTTTTCCTATCATTTTATGATTTTGATGGCAGTCTACTTCTCCAAAGCTAATCACTGGTGAAAAGGGGAGCATTCATTCCAGTATAAACAGCAGCTTTGGGGGGGGGGGGAATCATTTGGTTTGGAGAATGGTAAGAATGAAATAAATCTTCCCTCCCTTTGTGCTGGAGTTCTCATTATTCATTCTCTCTTCTTCCCTTTATCTCCCCTCATTTTCCACTTCCATCCATAATATAACTGCTATGTGCATTTTTTTTAAAACGTTCAGGTTAAATGGAGAGGAAAATTTAACAACTACATTACATGTACCATTTGTTACTCCCTTTTCAAATTAAACATGAATTGACTGCATTGTACAAGATCTATTTATTTACACAAACATCTGTATTATGTATACCAAAGTATGAAAGGGCTGCAGCTGTAAAGAGACCCTAAACAGGGGAAAAATCCTCAAAAGAAGCCAAACAGATGAAGAAAAACTTGCCTGATTACGGGGCTTAGGAAACCGTCCATGCTTCTTATGGAATTCCTGCAATCCCTGGAAACCTAAGTGCAGTTGAGCTGGTCGGTCAAACTTGCCAAAATCAGTGATAATGAATTCTGGCTCGGGCAGGGAGGAGCGCAGAGATTTCTGCAACAGAAGAGGAGACAAAGACCCTTAATTATTGACATTCCTCAAAAAGCACAAAGATGCTTCATATAGTTTATATAGGTCACGGAGATCAGAACTGCCCCATTCACTATGATCAGCTGCTACTTTCTAACTAAGGCAATATTTTGTGCAACTGGGCCATGTGATGTAGTGTAGGGCATGTCTGAAGCTTCCATTTTATTCACATAAGATTGGATAGTTTCCTAAGCTGAAATGTAAAAGTTTCATAAAGGGCCAGTTCCAACATTTGTGCATGACAGGTTGTCCAGCCAAAGACAAAAACTACCAAAGACACTTACAAAGCTAATCTTCTTTGGCATCTTGACCTGGGTGACAATACCACCACGCACATAGTCTGAAAAGTTGGAAGTATCACCAATGCTGAAAGTGTAGGGACCTAGAAGAGAAAACGAACACATACATACACCTATTAGATCTACAGCCAAAAGCTAGAAACAATACAGAAAAAGAAATGGTAGTGCAAAACTGTGCTATTAAGTTTGGACCGGGCTACACCGATTATCATCTCAATATATGAAAATTTTGCGATGTCTGATTTGTCAACAGTCACAAAGACAGATATGAGAGGAAACCATTTGTTTGATATTTTCAAACGAGGCTGTGAAATTGTGCTTCTTCAGATGGTTATGTATTGCAATTCTCAAATTCTATCATCATTAGTTATGTTTCCTGGGCCTGATGGGAACTTAATAATAATAATAATAATAATAATAATAATAATAATAATAAGCTATATTTTTATCCTGTCCCATCTCCCTCTGAGGATTCAGGACAGCTCACAACAAAAATGGCAGCCATTCAATGCCAAAAGTACATTATAAACTATTTATTTATTTATTCATTTTATGCCCCACTTTATCTCTCCTACAGGAGATTCAAAGTGGATTAACATAAAAGCATTAGCATACAATTTAAAATATACAAATATGTAAACATCAAAACAGGATTAAATATAAACATTATTTAAAATACCCCAGTTAAAAACCATATATATAGCCCCAAGAGAACTGCAGGTCCACATATCTCACCTCCGTGCCCCCAAAATGGGAATGAATGAATTACTGATGACTAGGGAAAGAGACAAAGGGGGAATGCTGTGCCGCACATTGCAGAGAAATCATGGGGCAAGAACTGGAGAGAAGAATACTAAATGAACGGAGGAATTTTGTTTTTCAGCATTGAATTGTAATTCTAATTTCTTTCAGGATGCAGACAGAAGCCTAAGTGACAGAAGGAAGTTAAATTTCTATAGTAATTTGGGAACAGAACAAAGGAAAATGGGGAATATGCTGGTTACGAGCTTGCACTGGGATTAGGAAGGGGCTCTCATGGTGAGTGATGAAAGTCAATGGAAGAGTGGGCAGTGGTGATAAACAGCATTGACTGATTTCAAAATAATTGGTTTCTACCATGTTTGGATCTACTGTAACCCATTCAGCATCTCTGGAACAGGGCTGGCTGCAATTCGCAATGAAAATATTTGATATTTGACATTCTCTCTGGATCCATGAAAAAATTACATCAAGCCATCACTATCAATACAGTCTTTCCAGACACTGTAAGGGGCCATATCCTAACAGACATCCTATTCTAGTAGCCTCCAAATTTTGCTCAAAATAGTTGAGGCACCATAGAAGTCTCACCAAGCACTTTGATTTCCATGGGTTCACAGCTGTTCAGCTCACTCATGCCTTCAACCTCAGTGAAGGAAACAAAATCCCCACTCTCAAAGCCATGTCTGGCCTCATCTAGACAGGTTACTTCTCCAGGGATTCCCTGTATGGAAAAAGCAGGATCTGTTAAAAAACACTGTAGGAGATAGTGTATCTCACATTAAGGAAAGCAGGGAATCATACCACAGGGATACATATTCCCGAGTCCAGACCCTCCAAAACATATTACCTTTGTAACCATAGAAACCATTGCACTGAGTGGCTGCTCCCCGTTGGTGTCCGTCACCACCATGTCATCACCAAAATCACAGAATAACTGGCTGTAAGGGGTGAAAAATAAGATGAGGGTACCACAATGAAGATCCTTCTACTCCCCCAGGAAGAGATGCTGTTCTCAAGCCCCTTCAGCACAAATAGGTAGTGTAAAATATGTGTACTGGAAGTATGAAGCAGGTAACACTATCAGACATAGAGTGAGAGCTTTCAAAGGAGATCCTATTGGAGAAGATGGGGAGACAAGGCTTTCACAGCATAGATAAGAGGTGGAACCTCCTCTTACCCAAAGAGTCCTTTGGTATCTGCCACTACCAGCTTGATGTCCTGACTGTGGCAGAAGTCACCAATGCGCAATTGCTCCTCCAACGAGCAATTGGTGAGAACAACTACCTGTAAGGGAAAGGGAAATTCTGGAGTATTTGTTGTTGTTTATTCGTTTAGTCACTTCTCACTCTTCGTGACCTTCCAAAGGGAATCAGAGCAGTTTCCAACATGTAAGGCAAACATTGAATTTCCGGAAAGAAACCACAAAGACAATTACATCAAGATAAACACATTAGACAATATAACACAACCTAATAAAACTTAAAATAACAACCAAAAGCATCAATAAAAATACAAAAAAATATTCTGCAACACACCAAAGATAAAAAATATTAAAAATCCATTTCATTGTAACTCCATCAGTAGAGGTTCAACAAAACCAATGGCCAGGGTTACAAATGGACGTGACCAACTATAAAAAGGCTGGACATGGGATAGTGCGAATAGGAAATTCACAGGAATTTTTACGTTTTCCACTGCGGTGCTGCTTCAGAACTTTCTAAATGCCGAGGTAAGGGAATCACAGCTGGTCCCTTAAGTTGGCACTGATGCTTTCCCCTCTGCACGAAATGACCGGCAACTTATCTACAGGTCACACCAAAATTCATAATTTTGGCTCCAAAATCTACTCTCGACCTATACGTAAGTTATATATGGTACATACGCTCTGTAGAATTAAGCCCAGTCTAGCAGTAAGCTTGACAGAGTATAAAAGAAAATAAGAAGTAAAAGTTATGGTCAAAATCCACTCGCAATGAGGTGCCATCTTGCTTTAAGGTACCTGGAAGTTGCTGAGGAAGTCCTCACTGAGAGGCCCAGTGTAGGCGGTAACAGGCACATAGGAGTTGAGCTCCATCAGTCGGGGTTGGGATAACTCAGCACGATTTTTCCCCAGGTCCTCTTCACGCAGGTAAAACTGAAGGAAAAGATGGCATCAGAGCCATGAGTTAGCAAGGCAACATAACGAACAAAGGACATACATCTAGGGTCACCTGAGGGAATGGAGAAGCATCCTACCTGGGAAGAGAGATCGGACCATTCAGCCACACCTTGATCATGGATTGTGACAGATTTGACGCCACCCAAGATGATGTTCTTGGCAATCTCCACCCCCAGTCCTCGCAAGCCGGATACCAGAATGTTGGCATTTTGCATTCGTTTCATGGCCTCATGACCCAACACGTATCTATTCAGGAAAAGTGGGAGAATCCCCAACACCAATGGGTTAATTTCTGAGTCTCAGAAACTGCTGACATTCCACAGCCACAGAAAAAGAACCACCATTACTCACTCTAGCCCACATGATGCTAATATTGGCTGACAGCCTTTCAACATAAGAGTATCTTCTTACACACCCCCACCGCACAACCAATCATTCCTCCCTCTAGTACTTACAGTTGCCTTGAGTAAAGACCCTCATCAATGTCTGCTTCATTTCCATTCTTGGCCATACCCTGATAGAAAGAAACAGAAAGAAAGATTGCTACAGTTTAAAAAAGGAGCCCTACCTGACAGATCTCTGACTACACCATGCTGAATGAGGAAAACAGGAAAAGTACATAATGCAAGGGTTACTGTAGCTTATCTCAAGTCTGAGTATATTATTACAGTTCTCTGCTGTTAGCCACTAACAACAGAGCACCCACAGTCATTTTGAACAGAGATCCAATTAAAGCTGCCCATGGTCAGGGTGGAGTGTGATCAACTTAACCCCATTTATGGACCTTTCACTACTGAACTGTGCATATCAATGCCTGAAAAGTTCATAAAACATCCTTCTGATTCCTTCAACAAATGGGACTGAAATGTTGTATGACCAGGCACTCAATCTGAATAATTTACCCCAAGTATGGAATTCTGGCTCTCTAGTTACACAATCTGTAATATTTCCAGCTCAAAAGGAAACCTCAGCTAGAAACAAAGGCAGATAAAAGCCATACAACTGCTATCTTCTGTCTTTGATTGACTGAAGAACAGTATTCTACTGGGCAATATTTCCCTGTTTGCTTTTTAAAAACGCACTTGAAGGCCCCAGTAGAATAAAAGCAGATTGCCTAATTGATTAATTCCAATTTACTATGTCGCCAGAGACTGTCAGTTCCCTGGGAGCTTCTGCATACTTCTTGGGAAATGAATTCATGTATATGCTATCTGAAATGTTTGTTTTCAGCTGATTTTCAGTGGGTCTTGGCACATTCTAGAAGGATGGGGAGGACAAAGTGCAAGTCCATTAGAAACTGTAAGCAGAATTAAAAGGCCTAGGAAAAGTGAGGGATTTGTGCCCACTAGGTGTCACTGAATTGCAACTTCCATCAACCCCCTGCAAAATAGCCAATGGTGAGGAATAATGAGAGTTGCAGCTCCATGATATCTGAAAGGTCAATGTAACCTCCACCTCTAGCCCAGAAACAGATTAGACCTATTCACAAGTGTTCATGTGCATTCTTTTAATTTCTACCAATGGCTGGCATTTTCTTCTTTGCACTGGGAAACAAGATAGCAACTGTGTTGTTGCGAGTTTTCCAGGCTATATGGCCATGTTCCAGAAACATTCTCTCCTGACATTTGGCCCACACTGCAGAGGTTGTGAGGTCTGTTGAAAACTAGACAAATGGGATTTATTTATTTGTAGAAGGTCCAGGGTGGGAGAAAGAACTCTTGTCTGTTGGAACATTCAAGTGTGAATGTTGCAATTAATCACCTTGATTAGCATTGAATGGCCTTGCAATTTCAAGGCCTTGCTGATTCCTTCCTGGGGAAATCTTGTGTTGTGAGATGTTAGCTGGTCCTGATTGTTTCATGTCTGGAATTCCCCCATTTTCAGAGTGTTGTTTTTTATTTACTGTCTTGATTTTAGATTTTTTTAAAATACTATTAGTCAGATTTTGTTCCTTTTCATGGTTTTTTTCCTTTCTGTTGAAATTGTCAACATGCTTATGGATTTCAATGGCTTCTCTGTGTAGTCTGACATGGTGGTCGTTAAGAGTGGCCCAGCATTTCTGTGTTCTCAAATAATATACTGTGTCCAGGTTGGTTCACCAGGTGCTCTGCTATGGCTGACTTCTCTGGTTGAAGTAGCCTGCAGTGCCTTTCATGTTCCTTGATTTGTGTTTGGGCAATGCTGCATTTGGTGGTCCCTATGTAATCTTCTCCACAGCTGCATGGTATACGGTAGACTCCTGCAGAGGTGAGACGATCCCTCTTGTCCTTTGCTGAATGTAGATTTGTTGGATTTTCCTAGTGGGTCTGTAGATAGTTTGTAGGTTGTTTCTTCATCAGCTTTTCTATGCAGTCAGTGGATCCCTTGATGTACGGTAAGAACACTTTTCCTCTGGGTGGATCTTTGTCTTTACTCTCATGACCTGTTCTTGGTCTTGCAGTTCTTCTGATGTCTGTGGTGGAGTATCCATTGGCCTGTAGAGCCCAGTTTAGGTGGTTCAGTTCACACTTCACTTGGTGTGTTGGGGCCATGATCTTTACCCATTGCTCCCACATCAACATGATGCTAGAAGAGAGCCAGGTCCAGCTCATAGTTTGTAGGTTTTTTTTTCATCAGCTTCCCAATGCGGTCCGTGGTTCCCTTGATGTATGGTAATCAACCGAACTGTGGACAAGTCTACATAGGGACAGCCATGAATGCCTTCGACAACACAAGATAGCAACGACTTCATTTCTCCCTCCACCCATGGGATGACACAAAAAAAGAGCAAGGGACTACGCTGTATGCACAGTCTACAAGGGTCCCTGCAATATATATGCCCTTTTTGTCACAACTTTCATTAAACAAGGTTTTTTGCTAATACCAAAATTAAGGCTTCTAGGATCAGGTCAGCTTCTTTTTGAAATTGATTTGTTTTACAATATTAAAAACAAGATCAGGGTTTAGCAGTATGCCCCACCAATCAAACCACGGGGTCTTACGTTGGCAGGCGCTTCGCGCAGGTCAGTCTGTACGGACTTGCCAGAGGAGCAGTTTGAACCCGTCTTCGTCTCTGATTCAGACAAGCGACGCTTCTTGGACAACGGCGAGCTGGACATCTGAATGCAGAAATGGCAAAACAGAATTGTAAGAATACAAAATCCAGTGACACAAATCCACAATTTGCTCATCTTGCTGTAGAATTTTGGTACCCGTCAAATATAAAAAACCTGTCATTTTATGTTAAGACTATTGGAGGTGGGGGGAAGGGGATCACAAAAAACATTGACTATGCCTCAAAACGGACCATGGTAACCGAACCTCCCTCCACTTATATTTCTTGTAACTAGACTTGTGCTGCCAAATGGGTTACAGAGCCTCTTCACTTCAAAGCAATACTGATAATGCTGATTTATTGGGATTATTCATTGTTGTGTCAAAAGACTGAGTCATAATACTTAACTTGATGTAATAGCAAGAAAACTAAAGTGATCAGCCTCATTTTAAAGCACAGGTCTCTTTCATGTAACTTTTATCTGTTCAGAAAAGAAATGCAGACTCTTTCATAGCCATTTTGCTATCTAAGGAAACCGAGGAAGTGCTAATCTGCTACTTCTCCATTGTACCTAAGTAGATGAAATTCCCTCCTTCCAATCCCTGCTTCACTGCTATGCCCATAGAGGCAGAGAGGAAACAAAGCTGGATCTAATCCCTCTCTTCCTACTTTCCTTTTCTTGTGTGCCATGTCCTACTTAGATTGTAAACTTGAGGGCAAAGAACTGCTAAAATAACAATTTGCAAACCACTCTAGAAGCCTTTCTGACTGAAGTAGGGTACAAATGTTCTAAATAAATAACTAGTAACACTGCCTATTGTTTCTGAGAAGGGAATTTAATGTGCAAATGGTGTAAACTGTTGCATCAGAATATCACCGCTAAGAAGGTGACTCCCTACTGCATATGAACCAGATGACCTCATGATCGGGTGTTCCTTCCCAGCAGGAGTTTTCCAGCTTGTTACAGAAAGAATCGAAAGTCAAGTAAGGAAGGGCTGGGCATGAGTCAGGCAGGAAATAGTCAGTCTGAGCTGGCAGGAGTTCGATTGCTGGGGACTTCCAAGGAGTAGTACACTGTGATGCCATCCAATCTAATTATGGATCTAAGGAGCTCTTCACAGTTCCCAAAGGAGATGTCTGTAAACCAGGGAGAGGAAAGTATGGTTCCAACTCCATTTTTGTGACCTCTCCCACAAAGGCCCTTCAGTCCCCATTTCTTTTGTTCTGACTAAACCCTTCCCCCTATTTTTTTCTGCAGGAACAGCAGAACTATCACAAAATTCCCACCTCAACCCTGAAAGAAAATCTCAACCAATTCAGAAGTGGAATCAGAAGTGGTTCACAGCTGAAAATGGATCATTACAGAATGATCAGTTGGCTGTTGCCCACCTTTACTATAGGAACTTGGTAGGATGACATGGAAATCACCAAGGACAGTGAATTTCAAATGGAAGGTCAGGGTTTGTTAAAATAAATCACATCTTCTGTGACATCAAATATGAGATAGCTTGATCTAAACATATAGATATTCCAAAAGGCACTTCTCAGTTACTCCCTAGGACAGGTCTGAATAATATTGGATGGAACCCGGAACTACTTTCCTACAGCAGTGGATTGTATGTTTCTGTGAGACAATAGGCTATGCTTACAGCAACAATGCTTCTGGTAGGATCTCCCATGACAGACAGACTTTTTCTCAGGGATAGCGTAAAATGTACCAAATAACTACTGGACAACAGCACATGAGCAGTGGAGGATCCCCCAGAGAAAATGGCAGTGGCACTATAGTTAATACTGTGCAGGAGAGGTCCAATAAACGTAAGCAAGGGGAGCTAGAAATAGTTAAACAAGAAATGAAACATATAAACATTGCAATACTTGGTGTGAGTGTGCTAATGTGGACACAAATGGAACATTATCAGTCACACAGTTTTACCCAGGAAATTATAATCTAAGAAGAAATGGGGTGGCATCAATAGTAGGGGAGAGATGTAGCACAATCAAAGGCTATAATACAAAGTCCAACTAATATCAATCAGAACTCAGGAAAAAATCATCAATATATCCAATTTCATGCTCTAGCTACAGAAGCAGAAAATGAAGTTATACAGTATAGGCAATTGGAATACAGAAGCATGAAACAGAGCAGCCACTAAAGTGAGGACTGGTTAGTGGTTACAGGGCTCAAAAAACCCTAAATAAATACAAGTAAAAAGTAAATACAATCTAATACTACTAATAACAATATGATATTATAATTATATATTTTATGTCAAATGTAATATTACTAATAATATTACAGTGTAATGTTATAGTACAATGTAATATATAATATTAATATTAAGCTATTTACTTTTTACTTGTAAGCCACTCTGAGTCCCCTTCGGGGTGAGAAGGACGGAATATAAATGTCATAAATAAATAAATAAGTAACTCTAAACTAGCCCCACTGCCTCTGATCTGTTTTCCAGCACTAGTTACTGTGCTGATTTTGACCTATTATGATCTATAAAGCCTTATGTGGCCTAAGTTCCGGCCATCTGACAACTATCTCCCAATATGAGCTATTTAACTCTTTTTTTTTAGAATGTGTGTTTAAATATCATTAATAGTTTAATTAGGTGTTACTGTTTTGCATTTTTATCATTGTAATCTTCTAAAGGTGTAAACTGACTTCAGTCCCAGTTTTGAGGAAAAAGCGGGATTTCAACACGATTATCACTACCATCACAACAGACAGGCACTGTTTTATCTAGTGGACTAGTCCTTTTGTGAATGGTAGTAATTCAACCAGGCAGAAGCATGGACAAGTGAGGAAAAATCCCTGCTGTGTGGCCCCACAAAATCAGTGCTATGGTAAGAAAAGTAAACTTTATTTCTGCCCATAAAACAGATCCACCATTCTGTATCAAAGCCAGTTGGTTGATTTACACACTGTTTGTTTAAACCCATCCACAAGCGCTGCATTCCTCCTTGGGATCTGAGACAAAGACAGATGGGAAAACAGCCTGGATCCCAAACCTCCAGTGTCAGTCCTGCTCTTGCCCTCCCACAGCACAAACAACTGCCTGCATTCCTGCAGGGCTAATACAAACCCCTTTGCCTCACAAACTCAAGAAATGCGCATCCGTTTTGACAGCACCCGGCTGCTTTGCCATATGCTGAGTTTAAAATTAACTAGTATCTCTTTTCCTTGTGGAGCTAGCCAACGGTGACACAGCATGTTGGTGACAAGTGATTGCATTTCCTCAGCAAGGATGAAACCAAAATCTGAAAGACGCGTCAGCAAGATGCCAGCTTGAAGCACTGCCACTAGCTTCATGCAGCAAAGTAGCCTAAAATCACTCTTGCCTTGAGATAATAGGAAAGAGAAGGAGAGCAGTGTGTCTGGGTTCAGGGCACGCATGGCACTGAGGCTTAACCATTACATCTCATGGTTTTGGATACAGCTAGAACCTTTAAAAAAAGACTCTGCTAAAGAAAAAAGGCAAGTATCTGCCTCACATTAGGACTGGAAGAAGCTTCAGCTGGTATAGTTGAATGCTAAGAATGTTCACAAGCTCCAAACTAGCCTTACTGAAAAATTCAGTACGACCATAGTTGACCTCAGCTATCTGTGGAATCATATATCCTGTCTACGATAATGGCCTTGCAATAAAGATTACCATTTATTTATTTACTCCATTTATACTCCACCCTTCTCACCCTGAACGGGACTCAAATGGCTTACAAACTATGGCAAAAATTCAACATGGAATGGCGTCTGTCTTGATGACCCCTATTATTTCTGCACCACATACTTTCACAGTATAAATTTTTAAGTAGGCATTCATAAACCATTTGGGCTAACAATTCACCTTGCTTGTCATTGCCATCTTGCAATGTATGTGGAATTCATTCAACTTGAGAACATGGTAGGCTTAAACTAAAGTAGGACATTATGACTACATAGGAGCTTCATCACAGGGCTGCTTATACCAAGCAGGGTCACATGAATGAAGAAATGAACCCACAGCCTCTAGTCCATTTCTGTACACACACCGCCCCACTAAATCTACTTATGTAGTCATACAGGAAAGAAACATCTCAGGACACAATACATACTTACTGCTAGGAAGAGTTGGAATTATTTCAAATCATGAAGTAAAACACACATTGCCTAGAATCCTATTAGTGACATATGCAAGCACCAGTCTATCCTTGCATGAACTGCCATTCTGTAGCTGAAGGACAGCATGAGGAATAGAAGGCCAGTGGCATCAAGCCTCAACAGATCTTGGTGGAAGATGCCATCAGTCTCTGCCTGCAATGGAGCATAACCAGATGCTTCTCTGGTCCTCCACTTTCTACCAGCAATTGAAATGACTACTGACCCAAAACTGTGAGTATTACAGACTGTTAGTGAGGATTCTGCCCGTGAAACCCTTATGCCAAAGTAGACAATGTAAGTTCTTGGCAGCAATGTTCTAACTGTAAAGGCATGCACCATGCTAGAAGCCAGTGCAAACTTAAACAAGGCTTGGCTGAGCTCATTTGGGATAAATAATTGGTACTGGAGTCATCAAACATCACCTAAAACTGTTTCAGTTCTGATTTACTTCTCAGATCATGTAGTGATAATGCAAGTATATCACCATTTGTACGTGACAGGTGAAGCCAGGCAAGTGTCTCTAAATGCTGGATGAAATTGGCAAAGATGTGTTGGTCTATATAAGACTTATTTACCCATTCAAGGTGGCAACTACCATGTTGTTTAATACAAATATTCTCACCCTTTTCCTGAAAAAATAAAAAGATGTGAGAATAAAGAGAAACCTTTCAGAAACTCTTCAGCAGGAATTTATTGATTATTTACTGTATTTATATTCCACCCTTCTAAATCCTGAAGTTCTATAGAAAACTGAAGAAAGAATGTCTGCCAGCAATATCAAGGGAAGCCTACTCAATAGCCAAAGTATTAACCTACTTTATTGTTATGTTTAAAGATTTCCACACAGAATCAGTCAAACAGAACTACTAGGAATCATTTTACTAATCAAGCTATGGACTTTCAGTAGTGCACTA